GAAGATTCGGAAGGAGTTGATCTTCATGTCCCACAGCCTTGGGTGCATTTTAGGGCTCAGGCTTTCAAGGGTTCAGGGTTTAAAGGGTTCGGGGTTTGCAGGACTCTGCGTTTAGCAGAGTGGCTAGAGTCAGGGGCGGGGGGGTGGGCTCTTGAAAAGCGCTATGTCCGACTGAAACTCTCCACAAGCAGGTCGCCCTAAACACGAAAAATCTCAACAGCCCTGAGTCCTCTAAACTCTGAGCCCTCTAAAGTCTGAACTTCTAGCTCCAAACCCTAAACCCTCCACTCTAAACCTCAAACCTCAAAGGCCCCAACCTCAGCCGAATCTCTACCTCTGGGCCTCTTGGCCTCTGCTTCTTCGCTACCAACTGACCCGTGAGATCCTGTCAACGCAACACAAGCAATCAAACCCGAGACAAGGTTATTTAGGGTTTGGGGTTTGCGGTTTTAGGGTGTAGGGTTTAGGGTTTAGGGTTTAGGGTTTTAGGGTTTGGGGTTTGGGGTGTGGGATTCGGTCGGATGTGAGGTCTAGATTTAGGGATTTATGGGGTCTAAGGCTGAAGGGTTTAAGGGTTTAGGGGATCAAGGTTTCGGGGTTTAAGGGTTTAAGGGCGTAGGGCTTAGGGATGTAGGGGCAATGTAGGGCTTAGGGTTTAGGATTGGCATTCAGGGTGCCAAAATGAACACCCCACTCCCCCGTCCCAGAAAAGCAACACGCCTCCAACACTTAAAGGACGAAGCGCCGGTGGTCACCGTATTGGTTGCACTCTCCTTTCGGATTCGTGCGAGGTCCGACTAACTGGAGCTGCCTCAGACGGCCGCAGGGTTTTGCCGGAGTGTTGTTCGCTGGGCTTGAAGGGGTGGAGGCCCAAAGGTCCCACAGCCTGAACCCTAAACCCCTAAACCCCTTTGAAGCCTGACGCCCCTTATCTAGCGCCAAGCCCTGAAGTCCGGCAAGGCTCGACTCTGGGGCCCTTAAACCGTAACGCACCGCGCCCGAAAGCATTAACACCGCAAGCCCTAAACAAACTACACCCCTAAACCGTATAAACCCTTAGGCTCTTAAGCCCCTACGCTCGAAACGCCGAAACCTGGAGTCCTCCAAGCCCCTCTCAGCCCTCAACCCTGATTCCATAAGGCCGTCTGTCCCAATGGCTCCCAACTCAAACCCGCAGGCTCTTAGATCATGGGATTTGGTTTGGGGTTTGGGGTTTGGGGTTTAGGGGTTTAGGGGTTTAGGGGGGTTTAGGGGTTTAGGGGGGTTTAGGGGTTTAGGGGGGGGTTTAGGGGGTTTTGGGGTTTATGGGGGGTTTAGGGGTTTAGGGGGTTTAGGGGTTTAGGGGGGTTTAGGGAGGGGGGTTTAGGGGTTTAGGGGGTTTAGGGTTAGGGTTTAGGGTTTAGGGGGTTAGGGGTTTAGGGGGGTTAGGGGTTAGGGGGGTTTAGGGGGGTTTAGGGGGGTTTAGGGGGGTTTAGGGGTTTAGGGGGGGGGGTTTAGGGGGTTAGGGGGGGTTTAGGGTTAGGGTTTTAGGGGTTTAGGGGGTTTAGGGGTTTAGGGGGGTTTAGGGGGGTTTAGGGGCTTAGGGGGGTTTAGGGGGGTTTAGGGGTTTAGGGGGGTTTAGGGGTTTAGGGGGGTTTAGGGGTTTAGGGGGGTTTAGGGGTTTAGGGGGGTTTAGGGGTTTAGGGGGGTTTAGGGGTTTAGGCTTGGGGTGCAGGCCCCCGAGTGGCACGGGCTTGCCGGTGCAATCTTCGGACTCGAAGCCTCACACTGTAGGGAGGAACGACCCAAAGGGGCTCGGAAGAGGCAGACATCAGCTCAGAAGGCATCAGGTTTAGGGTTTAGGGATTATAGGGTTTAGGGTTTAGGGTTTAGAGGGTTTATCCTCCTACGAACTCACCCCAAGACGAGGGGACACGAGCATCTGCGACTGTAAGGTCCCACCCTGGTAGCAAGTGGAGCCTCCCCAAAAGTGGTGTCTGAGACGTCCCCGCAAGAGGCCTTTCCAGCTTTGCCGTGCAGGTCTTACCTTTCTGGTTTTACCCTGCACCCCAGACTTAGCCAAAAACAGAACCAAAAAACAGTCCTAAACACGTCAACCCCGAAACCCCTAAAGCCCTAAACCTCTAACCCCAAACTCGAAATCCCAAACGAATCCCAAACACGTGACATTCCTGTAAGCCCCATAGCAGGGGTCATCAAGGTCTACTCAGAGCTGGGATAACCCCCAAGGTGGATATGGGTGTTGGGGTTGTGGAATGGGGCTTAGGGTTTAGGAGTTTGGGGGTCTAGGCTTTGAACCTACATCCCTCATTCGGGGCTCCTGGGGATGGGTCTAGCTGTAAAGAACAAGACCCTAAAACTTCCCATTGTGCGCTTCTTTGGCCGCGTGGCCCTCGAAAAGGAGGCAGGTGGTTGCCCCATAGCCGCGGTCGGACCAACCTCCAAACGCGACGCGGCGGAGGTGTTGGGGCCACAAGAAAGGGGTTTAGGCTCTAACCCT